GGCTTTTGCTGCCCAAGCAGGCTATCTGGAACCTGGCTGGCGGGTTGCTCTCCTGCATCATATGCTGAATGCTGTGGCTGACATGGGGTCTTTGCTGGTGCTTCAGCTGCTTTTGCTGGCTTCTCTCCTGCAGCATCTGTTGGTTGCTTTGGCTGACATGGAGTCTTGGGTGGTGCACCACCTGCTTCTGATGGCCTTGGCAGGCTGTCTGAAAGTTGGGCTGCTGGATGCAAGCTGGCTGCTGCATACTTTGACTGAGCTGGGGTCTCTGATAATTTAGCTGGTTGCGCTGGCTTTGGAAGGTTCTCTGGAAACAGGGTTGCAGGAGCACGTGTTGGCTGAGCCGGAATGTTTGGCGGTGCCTGTGATGCTTCTGCATGCTGGGTAGTAGTGGCTGGTTCCCCTGTAGAATCCCCATTGCGAACTTCTTTGCACACAGTTTGGTGTACCTCCAGAACCATGTGGGACTGCTCATACCGCTTGCTGACGTCCTCCGCGCTGTACCGCTTCGCGAACTGGTGGTGGTCCAAACAATGAGGCGCAGCTTGAGGAAGCTCCAAGCTGCCTGAACACGGTGAATCTCTTTTACTTCAAACTCATACAGTGTTTCTATCTTTGGTATTCCTTTACGGTGGGGGTGGAACAGTGGTCCAGTGTGTCCTTGTAGAGCCCTGCTGTCTATAATATGTATATATATATATATCTATAGACTGTATATATGTATATATACACATATATATAAAGTATATATACACACATACAGTAGCTTATATAGCCATACACTTGTTCACTCTTGGATTGTGGTTACAAGGTCGATAGCGTTGGTTGAGCGCGTTTCCATCTTTGGGATTCAGCCTCGCCTGGGTACTCGAGAGGATCTTCAAACATAACATCAAAATGCCCAGCAGTAGAAGTGAAGCTGAAGTAGAGATGACCTTAGTCGAGCGTTCTGACATGTGTCCCTATCCCTCTAACTTGCAAAATTAATCGTTTCTGCTTATAGACTATTTAGTCAAAAAAGCACAGGAAACTATTTTTAATGAGACAGCTGCCTAAGAATGGGGTAAACGTGAGCATGCTGCAGTCGCTGTATGCATATATATATGTTTACAAAGTTCTCAAAAGAGGATTTGTTTTTGCTTGGTATACTGTTACTTATATATATATAGGTTTATCCACATTCATCATTTGGGGTGATAAGGTGCAACATATTTATATAATGATCAAAACTGCCTGGAGCTTTGCATAGGAACACGCCGGAAAGCATTCGGGTACTCCGTACAAAGCGTCCGATGGGTAGTCGCCAGCGCACTTTTGGTAGGTTGCAGGATCAAGAGTGATCCTGAAGGAGCATCCCATGTGACAACCAATCAAGTGGGCTGCCTCCAAGGATACTTGCTTGCTGTCCTGGTTTTTGAATCAAAATGGATGTCTTTCGTGCCAACAATGAAACAGCTTGCAAACCACGTTTTCTTACATGGTCAGTTCACTTCTCTACTTTAACCCTTTAAACTGTTTTGTTGTCCAGCGATCTCTATCATACACTTCCAGGACCATGTGCTAATGCACGTTTCCATCTTTGGTACCACCTGCAAAAACACTGCGTAATCCAAAATTGAAGCGCAACCCTGTCCATCACTGACTTGCAAAGTTCAAACTCCCAGTCATTGGTGCAGAAGCTCATGACCCTGCTCATCACCTCGTTTAGAAGTTGCTCACTCATTTGCTCTTCACACTTTTGGCGCCCAGAGTTGATTGCAAAGCCCGAATTGTTTCTATCAAGGCTCCACCATTCATCATGGTGAGTTGTGGATAGCCAAGAGCTCCAGAAGCATCTGCCGTCTCCTGGAATACGCATCACCTTGTACTTTGTTGCTTTGCTCTCTGGCGGCGGTGGAGGTGGCGCTTTGCTTGAGATGATCTTTTGAACCTGAAGCAACACTGGCAAGTATTTTTCCAAACATGTTCTAATACAATTTTCTAACGAAATAACACATAAATCCCAAAGATGGAAACAGTGCATTCGTTTCTTCAAACCTGAAACAACATTGAACAAATTGTCTTTCTGGACATGTTCCACTACACATTTATCAAGAAATAGCACATAAATACCAAAGATGGAAACAGTGTTTTTTTAATGTTTGTCAGCGAGAAACTTCAATGCCAACCTGCACTTGAGATGACTCAGCAGCAGAACCAATAACTCTAAACTCCTCTTGCTGCAATTTTCTGACAATGAAATTGACTTGAACCTCTGCCACTCCGCCATTCTCCTTGGCAGCGAGCTGGAAAGCGCTGAGCTTCACCTGGCCCTGGATACGAGCAAAGTGCAAGTAGATCGGGATTGTGCACTCTGAAGCCAAAGCCTTGAGAGCATCAAAGGCCTGCACTGATGGTTTCAAGTCATTGCTGCTGCCTATCACGCCAACAACTGAAAGGCAGGAAGTCTTTGCAAATTGATCCACATCAGCCAAAGAGTAGGAGTCGCCCAAGAGAATGCAAATCGTAGCCCTCCACCCCGTTGAGTCATGATACTTCCCAAGGAGTCTGCCTTCAAGTTTCTGCCCTTCCACCAAAGTCGACAACCTGGATGCGGGGCCAAACTCATACTCATGCACCATTCAAATCTGTTTTTTTGGACACTAAATATATATATATATATGTTCAATAAGGCTTTAGCCTTTAACTTTAGTATACTTTAGTATGTAATATATAACTCTAAACACTGCAAACCAACGACCATCCCACCTCTCAGACATCAACCTGTGGATGCGAACCTCTGCTTGAGGAAGGTCATTCTTTTTGAGCGACTTGTCAGCAAGGAAGTGAATACCAGACATGTCCGTCCCCATGGCCATGTCCCGAGCAAACGTCTTGCTTGCCTCCGCTGCAACTGAAACGTTCTCCGACATGATGCGAGACATTGCTTCAGCTGTAGCTTTTCGTGTCGCGCAAGCCTGCCGGAGGAGGGAAATATTCCCCACTAACCGCTGCTTCTGGTGTAGGCTACTGATCGAGTCATACCAAAACTCAGCATCCTCGCGGTTGTCAAAGATCTTGCAAATGCTTCCATGTTCTTTTGAGATCTTGAAAGTGGCCATAAATTTGTTGGTGTACTTGTCAACCACAATGCCCTCCTGGTAGCTGGTGTTACCTTCTGGAGTTGAAGATGCTCCTGTGGAATCCTGGTACGCCGTCCTCAAGAAGGACTCCAGTTTCCCACAAGACTTGTTGTAGAAAGCCTGCGGCATGGGTTTCTATCTTTGTGATTTCCTGATGCCCAATGTACTTGGACCCCCAATGTGCCTGTACTATACTCCTGGGTCACCCTGTATCACACTGTAAAGGCATTCCAAATCACACGCATGTATGCAAAGAGCAAAAGGAAAAAACATGAAAAAACTGTTTCCATCTTTGGTATCACATTGTCGTATGCATTTACCCACATGGCCTCCTCAATGTATTCCTGCAAGAACACTTTGCTGACCCTCTTGGCAGGCTTCTCAATGTCCTGCTGCATCATGAACTCTTCCAGTTGCGCAATCTTGTTCATGCAGAGGGTTTCCACACACCAGTTCTCAACCCTGTTGGCAAACTCGGACGCTACAGCGTCTGCGTGCTTGGCTGACACAAAGTTGTGGCGCTCAAATTTGCGATGGAGACTCTTCCGGCTAGAAGATTTGACCACAATGGCCTTCTTCTGATTGGTCAGGCACACATAGACGAAACTGCTGCCATTGGCAGCTTTCTTTTCACTGACGCTTTCCTTGGTCTCCGTGGTACTTCTGGCCTTTTGTTTGGCTGTGGCACTTACTTTGTGAGCCTCCCGCTGCTCATGGTTCTGCTTTTGCTTCACAGCAATCGAATTGATGAAGTGTTTCTTTTTCTCTTCAGCCTGCCTCTTAAGAGCCTGTGCTTGAAGAGATTGGTTGTAGTCCTGCCGCTTCTTTGGACACCTCAATACTTCCCATGCTCCATTGAGTGCTGCCATTGCGTCTGTTGCCCTGGGGTCCTGCTGCAGACTATATATATACACATGCAACGTTGGTACATTTGTCTGATTAAATACACAACATATTGCACATGATACCAATGATGGAAACGCAACTTTGCAAAATACAAAAGATGCAATTACACATATATATATATATAGTCCAATCTGTATTTATATACATCAATATACCAAAGATGGAAAGGCGGCAATCTTGACTCCCCACATAATTGATCATGCTGCATGGTATGTTGAAACTGCCCTTTGGTCCTGGCACTTATCTGGGTGAATCAGCCGGCACCAGGTCATGTGCAAAGCTCGGAATCGCTCAATAGGAGCAGTGGAGAGAACAAATGATCGACGTGCTTGTTCAGCTGGATCTTGTGGTAGTGTATCCGACGGAGTAGCTGAAATCCTTTGTGGGTGGGATCATAACCAAATCCTATCCCATAGTTCCATAAACCTTCGATGTAATGTATACAATGCCTTCCAGCTCCCCCTGGCTCTTCAACACGTTTGCATCCATAAAATGCATCAAATTCCAAAGATGGAAACTATCCCAAATTGAACCTGAGTAGGTCCCACTATAGTGGAAACGCTGAACCGATATATATATATATATCGATATACTTTGGACACTGAGGCTGATAGTCAGGATGATAGTTGAAATATAGCGTCATGAAGACACCATCATGGGTGGATCCCCAAAAATGATCGTGACCCCACGGACCAATCCCCTGCACAAACTCCTTCATAAAGGCTGCTGGTGTGTGGGGACTTGCCTATGACCACATCAAAGGGGCTTCACACACAGCACAACCCCGACACACCTCTTAGTGCTGCCTAAAAGCACTGCATAGTGATCAGAATTGGCTGCGTTTGCCAAAATCCAGCTTACTATCTGTGCTGCCGACGGTGGCGGCTGCACCATGACCATGAGGCAAGACGTGTGAAGAACAGTTCCAAACTCCCAAACCAAAAGAAGACAGCAAGAGTGTCATGGACGCACACCGATACCAAAGATGGAAACGCCTGGACAAACCTTACATATCCTCCTTAATCACTATTGTAAGCTGGAACCTGTTGCCACGAATGAGCCAAATGCTCTTGTTTGCACCAGCAGGCATGATACAACATGCTTCCTTCCTGACCACTTGGGTTTCTCACAAAGAGAATCTCCCCTTCAAGTAATTCTCCATGAAGGCATCACAAACACTCCAACTCGCTGAAATTGAAGCATACACTATATGTTCAGTGAATCGATGGTCAAATAAGAAATTACAAGAAGCGCGACATGGGAAAGAAAGGAAAGCAACATTGTGCACAAAAAAATGCAAGGAAAGCGTGACCTTCAAAAGAAACTTGAAAGGAAAAGGACTGGAAAGTCAATTTTGGCAGAGAATGACAAGAAAACTGGTTTAAAGCTATTCTTGGACGGGGAATTAGGCATCGATACCAAAGATAGAAACACACATCTAGACCTGCCAACGGACACTTCACATGGAATGAACAACCAATTTTTGAGAGCCAATGAACGAAAAGCAAAAACAGATACGACCGAGGATTGAAAGGATGGCTAAGAGGCAAGCTAGATGGACATATATATTATATATATTTACTGTACATAAGGAGGAAAGCAACAGTGGAAGAAAAGAGTTGGTTCAATTCGGATATTGAAAGGAATCCTGTATATGGTTTCAATCAGGACACTTGAATAAATGATTCCAAAACTAACTTCAAAGAAGATGTTGAAGGACAATGATTTGTGGAACATATGCACAGATACCAAAGATAGAAACGCAGATCTACATTTGCCAGTGGAAACTAGGACATGGAATGAAACCCAGCTTCTAGCAAGAGCAAGGAAAGCCAAGATTGATGGGATTCATTGCAAAGATATCTAAGCTTGCAAGGCGTTGAACAGACACATGAGATTTCTAATTGGAAAATTGAAGACCGCAGCCTTTTAGATAAACTTTACTACTGTAGACAGCTAGATTCCAACAGGAAATTTGATGGAAAGTCATACACATTCCAAGAAATGCTGAAAGGAAAACTACGTTTTGACAGGGTTTTATGCATTGATACCAAAGATAGAAACGCACATCTAGACATGCCAATGAACATTTTACATGGCATCAGCAGCTAACCTTTTGGGGACACATGACAGAAAAGCCCAAAACGATAAGACAAAGTGAAAGGATAGCTAGATTTATATAGATTAAACTAGCAGAAACTAGCGTTTAAGGACAAAACGAGAGCATAAAGCAAACATGCAGAGCGCACAGAAAGGACAACACCAGCATTTAAGGACAAAACGAAAACATAAAGCAAAGCACAGAAAGGAAAAACTAGCGTTTGCTGGAAAAAATGCAGGGATACCAAAGATAGAAATTTTTAGCACATTTTCAAAAAAAACACGCCAAAAAAAGCGTAAAAAGGACCCTGCCAAAAAAGTTTCTATCTATTTGGACGTCATTATATATATGCACATGTATTTGTAGGTTGCAGCTGGCTGAGTCAAAAGGGTGAACAAATCCCTTGGATTCATTTGGCAGGTCCTAGCAGATGAATTTGAGGAGCTTCCGGACACACGACCTCCACTGTATTAATCCGAGAAATTCAAGTCAATTTTGCAAGCACGCATGCTGCGACCTCAGTGCAGTACCAGGCCAGATTCTGTTTGCTGTACAGTGTACAGTGGTTCTGTTCCTCCAAGTTATTATGTATGCCACCGTAGTGCACTACCTCGTATTTGTTTCTTTGGGATCGTATTCATGTTTGCAGTTCATGGCGACAGAGCTTCAGGAGCCGAGAGAAGTGCGACCGCAGGTGCCGCAAGTGAGAGGTGTGCATGGCCTCAGTTCGTTTCGTCCTGAAGTTGCCAGTTCTGCCCAGTTCATGTTGCTCTTTTGAAGACTCTTGCTCTTCTCTGCTTACATTTGTTTGGCCCTGACTTTGGACCTTGTCGCCACTTTGGAAAAGAAGAGAAGCCACGTTGGCATGCCCATGTGCTACCTAGGTGCTTTCGTGCTCCTGGGAAGCTTTGTTGCGTTACTGCCCCCTACACATCTGAGTATATAAAGCTTAAGCTTGGTTGCTCCAAATCTTCTGAGATTGCTTCACCCACATCGGTCGGTTACGTTCTTTGCATTTGGCCAACACTGCTCTGACCACAACTGTCTTGACTGGCAGTTGTTGTTAAGAGCACTTCAACCTGCACCGTGCTTTCGCAGAAAATTATGTATTGAGATTTTCCAGCCGCTCCTTTCACACTTCCACCCCCTTGTCCATCATGTTGCTGTTCCCGCAGAACTCATGGGCTACATTTGCCAAATCACAGGTACGATGCCAGCTTGGGCCAGCCCTTGCGCGGAGTTCCTATCCGTGGGGGACTTGTTTGACATGAGAAGGATGGTGAACTAGGGACAGCATCAGATCCACATATGTAATGGATGCATAATTTGTTTGAACATGCAACGTATTTTTATTGAGGGCCGTCTTCGAGCATCGCTGGTGAACGCTTGTGACCATCGAAACCCGATCGCTTGGAGGAAGAGTGTTGTGAAGGATCTTTTGCAAATGGTAAATAGACAAGTGCACTTGATGTGAATGAGAACGGCTTGTGAAGCAGAGTGTGCTCAAAAGTATGACCTCTCACTGTGGCAACCGGCGCTGCGACTGCAAGCCATTTGTACTAGTAACTAGTACACAGAGATGCTGAGATAGCAACCCCATGCCATGCCCATACGCACTGTGAGGATGAAGATGTTTTCAGACGAAACATCATTGGCTCATGGTTGTTGAACATGCATGCATGCATACATACATACATACATACATACTGGCTCAAGGCCATCAGTGTTCAGGCGGGCAGCCAACAAAGACCCGCTAGCACACACCTCCCCAATCGAAAATCGTCTCGACTTTGTCAACCTGAAGGGCCCAGGAACAAGCACGTGTACCACACATTCTTTGCTAGTTATCTTGGCCTACCTCACTACTGTCGAGACCTTTGGTGGCTGGCAGTGCTCGCCTCAACCTTCCTCTTTGGCATCCTGCTCGCCACCATCTTCATCCTCCTTCGGCCTTGGGGAGGTTTTCAACTACACATAGGGTGCCCCGCTCGAACTCGAACTCGAACTGAAACAGTTATACTTATTGATGAACTTAACCGTGAAAGGATATATGGAAGGAACCGAACTTGAACTTGATCTCGAACTGAAATGAAACAGTTATATATATATACCCATTGATGAACTCAACCCTGAAAGGGTATAGGGAAGGAACCGAACTCGAACTTGAACCCGATCTCGAACTCGAACTGGAACAGTTACTTAGATGGGCCTGGTCGTTACTAGTGTGTTATGAGGGTTACAGGCATTAGCTAGTGCCACTATAAGGCTTTACAAGGGTTAGCTGACGTCTCTAATGGTATACCCTTAAGACCACTTTTCAACAGGATTTTGTTGACATTTTTTCTGCAAAAAATTGTCAACATAATTTCAAAATGAGCATATATATATGATTTCAAATTGCTTGTTGCAAGAAATTGCACAAAAATCTGGGTGTGCTTTTTCACTGAGCAACTCAAAACATGTTTGCTTTTGAACATGAGCCTTGGCTGGCAAGTGAAATTGAGCCTTTCCTTGGCAATTGAAAACACAGTGTCGTTGCCCGTTCAACATGAGCCTTCACTGGCCACTGAACATGTAACATCAAGCTGTGCAGGGGTGATTTGTTTCTACACCAATTTCAGGTGAAAGGGCGGAAGAGTCTTGGTGCTTTCACCTTTGGTGTGCACCATTGCTGCCAAGACAGCCTCCAACTGGATGAAGCACTGGTCCCTGTTGGTTCCCATGTGGCTGAATGGGTTGCTCTATCTTCACTGCACAGCTTCAGCAAAGAGACCCATGCATAAGCTTTGCCATTGACACTGAAGATCCCCAACACCTCTCCTGCTTGCAGAAGCACTTGATTGAAAGTGGTTAGGACCAAAT